TCCAGTGAAATATATTTATGTTTGTGGTTGTAATGTGACAAAATATGGAAAAGTTCAAGGGGTATGAATACTTTTGCAAACCACTGTATCTGTATCAAATTGTTCAATACAGTGCTCTAGGTTCAATATGCACTTTTATATGGAACAATACAGATTATGAAAATTAATTTTATCAGCTTGTCTCCTGAAGATGCTCTGTGTTGAAGGATCAGTTTATCTGTGTTCGACTACTCCACCTAGGCTGCAATGTCGAGCTCAGATCCACTGAGAAACTTGCTGTTTCAGCAACATTTCATTTAAAAACTGGACTTTTGAGGTTAAACAAGCGTTCAAAATTAATTTCAAGTTAAGAAGGGCATGGAAATTTTTCTTTTTTGTATCGAAAAAATATCGAACTGTGAGACTAAAGTAGCAAACCGAATCGTGAATTTCCTCTATCGTTGCCCCCATATAACATCACATTTTTAGTAAAGTGTGCAGTGCTCTGGTAGTGTCAACAAAAAATTGTGTCCCCTTCCATTATTGAAGTTGCTCTAAATGCCTGGTCCGCTGTTTGTTGCTGCTGAGGACAATAAAATACGGTCTTTGTGTTTAGTCAAGTACCCATCTACACCTGAAATAGTATTCATAAATATATTTTAAATCATGCAATTTTTACCCAGATATAAATGAAGTCACAACACGATGTAATAAACTGAAAGCTGTGTTATAAAAATAAACATTTTAGCTGTGATCCAGTTAATCATAACTTACAAAACTGCACTTTAAAAAAAGCAGATGAGTATTTTAATCAGAAGCAAGAGCCCGTTCAGGCAGAGCTGCATGGTGGCCGAACAGCGCGATACGTGAGGCGTTTCTTAAGTTCTCAGCGTAGGTCGGGTCAGAAGCAACACAATGACAGCAGACATACTGTGGGGGATGCAGGTCACAATCATTGTGTATTCTGTAGAGAATTAGATTATAACAAGCGGCAGGGCTGGAAGGAAAGTTATGAAAATGTACGAAGTTAAAAAAGGTACAGGGATGAAGGTTTGGAGTGAACTGCAGTGGAGAGATATCAGGCTTGAATGGCAGCAGAAACGATTTGGATTTTATCCCAGAAGCATAGGATTCTTCTGAGGAAGAAGAAAAACAGCAAAAAATAAATAAATAAATAAAAAAAGTAAAGCTCAGAGAAAATCCGTTAAAGAGACTGGGTGTAATATTCAACAAAAACGTTTGAAGGAACWGCCTCTTTTATCGCCGGCACGTCTTTGAGAGCTGGTTTCTCCATCTCCGTGTCTATGAATGGCTCTGCAGTCAGCCACGCAGACAGAAAGGTCAGAGATGCTGCGACTCCTCAACTCAGTGCAGAGGCGTTTCTTTGGCATGCCGATACCCTCTCCTCCCGTCACCACGGCAACACGACAGAGGACAATACAGTACTGAGCGTTGCCATTACTCAGGTCAGTGACTGGGACTGATCCGCCATGAATACAAGGAGAATCATTTCCAGGAGCAGTTTCTGCAGCTGCAGCCAAGGATGGAGAGATCCTGCAGGACTTTAAGTGTGATTGCAGTGGCAGATGGAAGAGCGTAAGTCATTGAAAACACTGTTATACAAGCCTGAAGCTGCACGACRGAGACTTGGCTCTAATAATGCTGCTGTGTGTTAATCAATAGCAACAAGGTTTTTGAATGTATGAAGTCATCATGCAGAAAAACGGTGTGCGCAGAGATTCAAGGACAAACACGGGCCCTGAGGATCTGAAATCAATGCATGATGCTAAACATTTATAAAATACAAACACTTCAACTCCTAGTTGGCAATTAAAAACTTTTAAAAAAATCAATCTTGTGCAAATGCTAAGAAAATTTCCATGACTTTAAGAATTTGTCCCTTCAAAACATMGTCTTTACTCTTTTTAAAACTTATTTTTTAGACAACTTCTGCCATCTTATGAGAAGTTTGTCCAACACTAAAGATGTTTAACCTGAAAACTGAACTAAGCATCTTTTGGACCTATAGGTTCTGTAATGCTAACAATGAGATCAAATTTAATTTGTATATTTAAGAAAATGATAAAGGTAAATCTGTTGGAGAAATATGTATGGGTATAAGGCATGAATTGTTACTCAAGAAGGAATTAA